GTGAATTATAAATTTACAGTCAATTTGAAATATAAAGATATCACATTGTACACTATTATTGTCAAAACTACACTTTACTTATAAACTCGCGCACACTGGTCTGCTCAAAATCTGTGAAGCAACGTACTAGTATGAAGTTTACAACTTTCTTATTTGAACTTACCTTAAGAAACTTTGTTTATCGCTGGCAGCTCCCTGGCAGCCCCCGTCAGCCGTCTGATACGTTGGGACTGGGCTGGGCGGGGCTGGATCAGGGAATAAACTCTTTGTTTGACCTTGTCCACGATAAATTTGCGGGGAATTCCCGCAATGATGCCAATACACAAATGCTTAAACGTTGACAAGTTAAATTATCATGTTTGTTTCATTAAAACATTAAGCGAGTCTAATGTAGATCTTGAGAACTTGGTATTTGTTTTTTATACATATTTATATATGTATATATGTAGTATGCAACCAGTTTCGTTAATAGTGTAAGTTTAATAATCTAACAAATTTTCAGAATCGAATGAAAATCTAGTGTATATTTAGAAGGGTGGTACTAAATATTTTGTATATTTTCTTTACCATTTTTTGGGTTCAATCCAGTTCAATTTCCAAGATATTTAAAAGTGTTAACTTGTTCAATTATTGAATTTTCTATTACTATTTTGTGTCATTGCCATAAATGGCTAGTTTTTTAAAATTTTTATGACTAGATATTTTAATTTGGTATTCTTTGCTTATTATGCTTAATTCGGAGACTGCTTTCTTTAGTGTGACTTCTGAGTCGTTATTATAACTTGGTCGTCTGCAAATATTTTTGTCACTATTTCCTGGTGTTTTAATTTTTATACCTTCTTGAGTTTACTGTTTGAATGATTTTATCGTGTGATTTAAGCGCAAGTTTTAGAGCAGTGATGACAGTGTGCATCCTTGTCTTAGAACTTTGTTGATCTTCATCTGCTGTGTCGTGCCGTAGCCATTTTTAATAACTATTTTGAAATCTTGGTACAGGCTCTGTACATTTTTGGTTAAATGTTCTGGTACTGCTTCTTCTTTCAGAATTTTCTATAACTTCTTCCTATTCAGATTTTCATAGGCCTTTTCATAGTCAATGAACAGTATATATGACGATATGTTATATTGTTTCCTTTTTTCTATAAACTGTTGGAGAGTGAATATTGCATCTATTGTACTTCTCCCCTTGTGAAATCCACATTGTTTTTCCATGATTTTTTGTTGTTCGGTTTTTATTTGCCTTTGTCCTATTAAGTTTTAGTTTTAGCAAATAATTTTGTTGTCACTGATATCATGCTTATGCTCCTATAGTTGTTACAACTTTTCCTGCTTTATTTTTGAAGATGTACACTTTTGAAGACCTCCATTCTTGGGCTACTGTTTTATGTGTCTTTATCTCGTGTCTTAGTTTTAGCAAATGGATTTTTATTTCTGGTTTTATCCCATCTATTCCTGCTCCCTTCCTATTCTACCGGACATTTTTCTAGTTCTTTCAAAAAAATGTATTTTTTTCATTTTCATTATGAAATCTCTTTAAATTGTATTAAGTAATTTATATCTTTCAGCTAGATTTTGAATTCTGAAGAAAAATTGGAAAATAATTGGGGCTTTTAGAATACTAGTTCCCACATTTACCTTGTTAAGACTTGCCAGAATAAAATGAAAGATCTGTCACTTTCAAAAAAACTGATTTTCTGACATTAATTCATATCAAAATTATTTCAGATGCATTTAGAAGAAAAATGAGCGTTTCATTTTTTTAAAGAAATATTTATTATAGATTTTTGAAAATCAGTATTTGAGTTTGTATAGAGAAAATAAGGAAAATTTGAGCAATTATAATAATATCAATTTTATCCATGTTGTACAAGAGATCACATAATTGCACCTTGAATATACATTTATTTCAGTGTCATGGTGTCTAGTTTACAATTCATTAACTTCAATGTGTTATACCTAATGTTTTTGTAGTAGGTTCTTAAGGTTGTGTCTTGTGGTACTGAAGTTTTGCAATGCGTATATCAGTATTGTGTACAATTTTCAGTGTGTACTCTTATATGATTGTTAGTTTATATTGTTATTTATGATATTGTTCCTACAGTGGATGTTTTGCTTTTGCCACTGGATCCCAAGCAAATTATTTATGTTTCATAGAATTTGTTATAAGAAATCGTTATCTTGTCGTTGAAATTAAGAAGTTGTCTTATCTGTGTATAAATCAAAGCAATGTGTGTATGTCCAATGCATATAGCTGCAAAAAGTATAAGATCGATTTTGCTCAAAATGTTTTACATTTGTATTACATTAGTATCGGGAGAATTTAAAGAGTGGTTTGAATTAAATTGGACATGTGCATGCGTTGTTTTTGCATAGGTAACAATGATGTGGGTTTCTTTGCCATTCCCAGTGTACTTTGCTTGAAGTCTACTCAGTGAATATCTTTTTCCTAGAACTCGATCTAGGAAAAAGAAGTCTGAACCAAAGGAATTGTATTTGGATGTAAAAGAGTTTAGTTCAAGTTTTTGTCCAAAATAAGCATTCCAAGATATTGTTATTTTACAATACTATCATTGGGTGTAAAGGGATATGTGACATTTCAATTCTGCCATTAAATGTTAATGGCAAAATTGAAATGTCACTTATTTCTCTACACATGACATTATCGTAGTTAGGCAATGTCCTACAATAGTCATTTTGGCCAAAAATGTGACGCAACCTTGTTTCCTGTGACCCACCATTTATTTAATGCACTGCAATAGCAAAAGTAATACTGGGTCTGCTAGTAGTCAATAAAATTGCTTTGAATAAAAATTATGTTGCGTACTGCTTATCACTATAATATTCTTGTAATGATGTTTTTGTTCTAAAAATATACCAACTGTTGTAAGAAAATATTAATGGTGATTAAAAATTACAAGAATCTAGTTTATGTTAAAACGTCTTACAAACTAGAACACTGGAAAAATTGATGAGTTCTAGCACTAAACATAATTTCTAAAATTAATTTGCATAATAAAATGTAATAAAGGTCATCAGGGGAAACATATTGAAGAACTATCAAGTCTTTATTTCTTCTTCTTTGAAATACAATGACTTTTTAGGAATATATTCACCATGTTGGATTAGCCTTTATTTAAAACATTTTGATGACTTATTAAAAATTAGATATACCTGAAGCCCAATGGTACACATTCCTATTCAATTTTCTACCCCTTCCTATTTGGGTCACGCATGTGTGTCTATTGAATATCCAACAAAACCGCAAAAAATCATTATTAAAAATGAGTGGTGTCATCTGTCATTTAAACTGTTTAATAAAAATTATTTACATTAAAACATACATGTGAAATCCAATGCGCACGTTTAGTCCATTGTGCAAAACAGAGGCCGCCTGCAATTGCTTCTTCTTTCAAAATTTTCAGGTAAAAATCAACCAAAATTCTACTGGCACATATTTCATTAAATTAATATCCCTTATCTTAATTATTCATTTTTGATTGATGTTTACCTGATACACCAGGGATTTTTTTGTACAATTCTGTTTTGTTACTAAAATTTGGAAACATATCTTGTGTGTAGAAGTAATTCACAGTCCCCTGAGCACAAGTTCACTAATAGCAAACTACGATAATTACTAGGGGGCGGATATTGATGACTTAAATCATTGCCAAAAATGATCAATAAAATGCCCTTGAGCAATTTTTGTCTTATGAAAAATCTATTCTAAATAGATCTTAAAAAAGGGTATTGTTAATTGTTTTTAAAACGAGTGTTTTTTGCGGAAATTTTGCTTGAAATTAATGCAAATTATTAAAAAATTCTGAATAACTAATCTGCTTAATTTTTTTCCAACGGATAGAACAAAGAAAAACTTCGAGAGGCACAGGTCTCATTTTTGTTAAAACTTAAATTTTGAAAATTGCAAGTTTTGAAATATTTTTTTAAAGTACTAGGAGAAAGTATGTTCTGTTATTAGCACGTAGTTACAGCATCTGTAAATACAGCATCTGTAAACAGATAGATAAAAACAAATCATATGTTTTTACTTTCCAGTATATGTACATATATACAAAGTAATATGCATAGTATATGGAAAGTTATGTTAATGCTGCGAGAAAAAATGTCAGATTTTCGACAGAAAAAAATCCATTGTCGCGCTCTGATAACGAAACAGTTGATAAATTCATATGCTAAATTAAAAAAAATCGTTTAACACATGGTGTAGCCAGAATCCCTGTGCGTCCTTGAAACCGAAATATTAATTGACGGCAAATCATCCGTTCGTCTGTCAGTCTAGCAACTAAACCATACGTACGATTTTTTCGAAAACGGATATTCTCCCTTCTATCTGGCTCCACTTAGTGCGCAGCGATTTTGAAAAACTTTCTTCAAGATTTGAGAGTACTTTACATGAAGCCCCGGGCCATTTTCAAAATTTTCTCAAAAACGGCTCCAAATTATTTCCTTGAATTTCTTGTAAAAGTAGAGTAAAGTACACGTACGAGTATAAAGGTGGCGTAGGTCCGATTTTCACGGTTAACTCCGGCGCTAACTTTCTTCATAACTTTCTATTTTTGCGAAGAATTCGTAAGGCGAGGAAGTAATAATAATATCTGAACTGTTAGGGATATCTAAGTTGGTCACTTGTTTAGTGATCATAATATATTTAAATTTCATGTCGAGAGATTCATTAGTTTGCTTAAATTGGTTCATTTAGATGCACAGAAACTCAGCAATTGATTTGTCGTGAAATACATTTTACAAACCGCGAAAAACAGTTGTAGAAAAGTTTAAAAGTTACAAATTGTAAAGGCATGTAAAGAGATTTCCAGTTTATTCGTATATGTAATGATTGCATTTGTGGGTAGAAATGTTACAAATGATTTTCGATAAAGTTTCCCGAATCCTCAATAGTTTTCTACAACATTTTCATAAAATTAAAATCCTCAGGTGGGAGTCAAACCGGCAACCTCTTTGTTTCAAGTGATGAACCCGAACATGCCACTTAACAACCTCGGTCATCCAGGAGGACAGGACTTTTACACTTCCATACTACTCAAGATACAAGTTACAGTTCTAGCATTGCGGAGCTGAGAAAATATGAAAAGACAAAGGGGTTAAAAGTTGGAAATTCGAAAATCACATACACACTTCAAATTTATTTATCGTAATTCATTGTATTAGTTTAGTAGAAGTGTTTCAAATAATTTTCAATTAAGTTTCTGCAATTTTCATTAGTTTTGTTCGGAAACACAGAAGTGTGACAAATAATCCCTGAGCGAGATTCGAACAAGCCGATCTTACCTCCGAAGCACTGTGACACACTTAACGAACGTCTGGCACGGTGGTCATACTGGGATTAGGCACTTCTCCATTATCAAAAGAGCTTCGTGTTTCAGTTGCAGTATTAGGCAGCGGAAAAATTAACAAAATGTAAAATAAATGTCCTTTGGGCAGAAAAAGGTAGCAGTTCGGCAGGCATAACTCGACGCGGTAAATAATTTTTGCTGGTTAAAAGCAACATATAATTGTGACAAGTAATTATCCCTGAACCAGCCTCGAAACAGCGGCCATTCATCATGAAACGCTGAGACTGAACTCGACATTTAACCACTTCGGCCACCAGAGTTATAGAGAGAATTGGCATATTTAAATTAGTCTAAAGCGCCGAAAGACAAAATTGATTTGATGGTTCATACGTTTTAGAAATCCAATAAGAGTTGTGAAAAATTGTTGAAAAGTTAAAAATTTGAAAATCACATACAAACACTTCCAATTTACCTTGATTAATACTTTTGGCGATTAGAATTGCTTCAAATGGTATTCAATAAAATTTGTGGAATCCTTAATTATTTTTTGCGGCAAGACAGAATTGTCACAAATAATAATTCTCTGACAAGACTCGAAACAGCCAACCTTCCCCCGAAGAGCTGGGCCCGTACCCACTAATTTAGCCACCTCGGCCAACCCGTTACGACATGAAATGAAAATTTCTATAATAGTAATAAGTGTGTGGCGGTTTCTTTTGAAGCCTTACGGGGCCTAGTAATTGAGAAAATGTGAAAGAAATTTATTTTTCGGGCGACAAAATGGAAGCAGCCGTGAAGATTATGAGGCATGTTGCAAAAGTTAGTCAAGAGTAGAGAGATTAGAAAACTAACTACGGCGAGAAACAAGGGGGCCATCTCACCATTTGCTTAATGGATCAGGGAAACTGCTCAAAACCTGATCGAGATGAGGGTCATTGACCCGGAAGCTGATGTACATTATTTGTTATAAGCATATTAAGTCTTTTTAAAAATTTATTCAATACAAATTGAAAATAATACATTATATATCACTGTTTTGTTAAAATAAACATTATTTTTCTTTTTGATAATCAGTATACTCTCTAATTGTATAGAAATAGTTATGCAGCAGAAAATATTTTAGTTTTAACTTAAATTTGTGAACCGACTTCAATTGTTTAATATCATCTGGCAGTGCATTATAAAGTAACGTACATGTATTGTATGTGGATTTCTGATAGTGAGCTGTTGATACTGACAATTGATGAACGTGATTTTTACGACATGTGCTGTAATTATAAATATCAGTATTGCATTAAAATATGTTCCCACCGTTTAGAAGTCACTTTTGACAAATATTACAGATTCGTAAATATATAGGCAAGGCAGTGGTAAGATTCCAAGCTCAATGAAGAGAGGCTTGCAAGTGTGACGCGGAGGGCATTTTGCCATTATTCGAATAAGTTTCTTTTGCAATCTAAAGGTCTGAGTACTACATGATGAGTTTCCTCAGAATTTTATACCATACCTCAGGCGGGAATGTACATTTGCAAAATACACGCAATGAGCTGCATGAAGACTGACAGAATTTGATAGAATTCTGAATGCGTAACATAATTAACTTAATGTAGTGTTTAATTTTGTTATATGTACATTCCATTTGAAGTTTGACTGAATTGACAGACCTAGACATTTCATTACCTGAACATCACCTAATTGCATATTATTCATTTTCAATGGAGCATGCGAATGGTGATTTGAAATGCAAAAATGCATTGAATCTGTTTTTCCTTCATTAACTATTAATTTGTTATTACAAAACCAATTTAAAACTTCTAATATCGTACTTTTGCAAAGAACATTCGTGTATCGGCAAACAGATCCGTTCTTTCGTTTTTAAGAGACGACGGCATTTCGTTTACGTATAACAGAGAGAGGTTAGGATCTAAAATCGAGCCTTGCGGAACCCCATATTCAATTGGTAAAGAATTGGAAAGATAAGTAAATAATGTCCTTTCGTGACAGTACGGTACTTTTTACTCTTTGAGATTGATGTTTAAGGTACGAAGTTATCCAATCTAGGGCGATACCACGAATTCATTAAGAAGGTAATTTTGATAGCAAGATGTTATGGTCAATAACGTCAAGAGCTTTCGAAAGATCTAAAAATATTCCAATGGATGCAATGCAATTTTGGTCCATTGTTGAAGCAACATCTTTAAGAAAAGAAAAAATGGCAGTTTCCGTAGATTAGGATTTTCTAAGCCCGTGTCGTGACACTGAAAACGCATCGTTTTTTCTTGAGAAAAGTTTCCATTCGCGTATAGAAAAGCCTCTCTAATATTTTAGAGAAACGTGACAAAAGAGAAATTGGTTGGTAATTTTGAATTTCATTTTTACTCCCTTTTTAAAACGTGGCTTAAGTTTTGCTTTTTTGAATATATCTGGAA